GGCAGGGCGGAGGGCGGGGACTGCTGTGTCCTAGCTGTCGGTGCTCCTGTTGCTACGGACGGACGGACGGACGAGCTGGGTGAAGCCTGTGAGTGGCTTAGGAGAACAGAGGCCTGACCTTGAGGAATGGCAGGGCAGGGGTGGTCCCGGGTCTTTAGGTCTGGCTGTGTGGGGGAGGGGGGGCCTCTACTGCAGCCACTCGCTAAAGGGAGGAACCCTGGGACTGCGTCTGGTGGCCCAGGACAGAACTCGGAGTGCCCTCCTGGTGCCTTCTGGGGTCTCCTCTGCCCCTGCTCAGCTGCCCCCCACCCCACTCCAGCCCGTTGCTCTTCAATTGATCCCTCGCTGTTGCATCTTTCAGGACCAGCTCATCAGGAACTCAGGGTCTGGTACCTGCCTGACATCCAGGGACAAAAAGCCAGCCATGGCTCCCTGCAATCCCAGCGACCCCCACCAGCTCTGGCTCTTCGTCTAGGCTCCTCCCTGATCATCCCCAGTGGGGGGACCCCACCCCACACCCCAACAAGCCTCTCCAGAAACAGAGCCGCTGATGTCCAAGGTCCTGGTCCTTGGACCGACCCTCTAGCACCAGGACACGAGGGACTTGGCTTGGGGTTCTCCTTCTGTCCTGGAAACAGGGCAGCCGGGGGGCGGCTCAGGACATCACTGCCGGGCTCATGCAAAGCGCCCCCGCGGCCACATCCCGAATCCTCACACAACAGCACCTCAGACTCCACGGAAGCCGCGTGTTGCCACGGAGGCAGCTGAGGCCCAAGGTAGCCTCCCTGGCTCCCGTGGCCGGAAGTCTGCTGGACCGTTCAGACAGAAGGCAGCCTGACAGGTGGCTTCTATCTTCACTTGCGCAGTAACCCTGTGAGAAAATCAGGACAGGATGCTGCATGCCCGTTTTACAGATGGGCAAGCGGAGGCAGAGGTAAAAGAACATGTGTGCCGGCCCCTAGCCAGCAGGTGGCCAGAGCTGAGGCTGCTGGCTCCTTCCACTACGCGACGAGAACACTACACCACCTGCCAGCCACCAGCCATCCTGTCCCCTCTGCCCACCCGCCCTGGTCACTTCCAGCTGGCTGGCTCCACGAAGCCTAGGACAGTGGAGCCAGGTGGCCCCCGGTGAGGGAATCCTGGGATGCTCATGTTGAAAGAAAGCTCACTGGGACCAGTGATTGTCAAGTTTAGGTCCCAGACCGTTTTTTTTTTTTTTTCCCCCTAAGCCCCATATTTAAAGTCGATAAAAAGCAGAGTAGCCTCGGCAAAATTAAGAGATCTGCAGTGCCTGCGAGGTCTTCTCTGAGCAAGCCGGACCCGGTAGCTCCTGGCTGCTTTACCGGAAGTAGAGCGCCCAGGTGCATGGACAAGCCCATCCAGGGAGGCTGTTGGTGATGCCAGTAGCAGGCTGGCACCACAAGGGGGTGCTCTAGGACCACATCTGCCTCCTGCCCCGCCCCCCCCCCAACACCGCAGGTGGCCACCTAGCCCTCCCCCCACCGGAGCTAAGAGGCCTCTACTGAGGCGAGGTTGGGGGGCAAGCCCACCAAAAGGAAAAGAGCTAGTGGCCAGGATGTGATCTGGCGTGGGGAAGGGGAAAAGTTCTTTGTCGGGAAGAGAAGGTACACGGGATGGCAGTGAGAATAAAGGTTTCTGGGCGTGGGCCCTTGCTGTCTGTTAGCTGTCAAGAGCTGGGTTTGGGGCCACGGTGTCATGTTCCCTACGCGTCCTCTGCTCCCAGGTGTTGGGGGCAGAGCAGATGTGCACGGAGCGAACGTGAGATGGGGTCCCTCCCGCGTGGCACGCCCACCCCAAAGGTACGCGGGTGCTTGGAGCCAGCGAGTGGCAGGGATGTCTGGGGCGCAGGGCGAGCGCGAAGGAGCCATTCCTTGCACCCGCGGCCGTCACCGAGACGGCTCCGTGTGACCTGAGCCCGCCCGCCAATGGTGCCAAGGGCTCAGCGAGCAGAGATGCCACAGCCCAGCCGCGGAGGCGCAAAGGGGCAGGGGCTGGAAACCAAAGGGACACTGTGGGGAGGGGTTGTGAGTGTGGACGCCTTCGTGGGTCGTAGGACAGCCTGCCTTCCTAGGGTCCCGCGCCGCTCGGAGAAATACAACCGGAAAACTCTCCCAGTAGGGGTCCTAAGATGCCACGATGAATCTAAGCCAGGCTGATTGTATCTTTCATTTTATTTTATTTTATTTTTTTGATTGTATCTTAGAGAACAATTTTGTGGGCCCCTCAGCCTGGGGTCACATCTGTGCAGTCACCCTCCCCCCACCTGCCCTCCCACCTTCTCCACCCCACCCCACCCCACTCCCCCTGGCTGCACTGGGCAGGAGCAGCCGAGGCCAGCTTGCCCTCATTCAGCACCGATGCTGTTGCTTTAAAGCCACCCCTCTGAGCGTGGCTGTCTTCCCACTCCCCAGCCACCAGCCAGGTGCTGGCTCTGGGAACCGCTCAGCGGCGGAGGGGCTCCCGTGTGCGCACCATGGCCCCAAATAGCTAAAAACAACCAAGAGCTTATCCCTCGCTTACTTTTCAGTTTTATTTATTTAATTTGTTTGAAAGGCAGACAGGAGGGAGCACCCACCTGCTGATTCACACACACACATACACACCAAACACCTGCAAAGACCAAGATGAGACCAGACCAAAGCCAGGAGCCCAGAACCCAAGCCAGGTCACCCACGTGGTGGCAATGACCTCCTAAACACTTGCGCCATCACCTGCTGCTTCCCAGGGGTACAGATCAGAAACAGGAATGAGGCCTGAAGCCAGCCACTCTGATACGAGATGTGGGCGCCCCAAGTGGCTCCTTAACCATGACCCCAAATGCCAGCCCCTTGTTTCTAGTTGTAAAAAATAATCCACTGGAGAAAAGTCCAATCGTATAGAAAAATAGGAGGTTTCTTTAAAAAAGTGTGATTCATCATCATGGGCCCACTTAGTCACTCATTCCCCAGGGATGATGCTCAGTCACCCAGCTTGGGCAGGGCCTTCATTCCTTTTTTAAGGACTACACAAATGAAATACGTGTTGTGGTCACTCAGTTCTCCCAGGATGTATTTCCATGTCAGCTCATTCAAATCTAACTCATTTTCTCTTAAAGCTATGTGATATTCCATAATAGAGATAAACCCAGTTTAGTTAACCTTCCCCCCCTTTTTAAAAAAGATCTATTTATTTATTTGAAAGACAGAGTTACAGAGAGGCAGGTGCAGAGAGAAAGACAGGTCTTCCATCTGCTGGTTCACTCCCCAACTGGCTGCAACGGTCAGACCTGCGCCAATCCGAAGCCAGGAGCTTCTTCCAGGTCTCCCACGTGGGTGTAGGGGCCCAAGGACTTGGGCCCTCTTCTACTGCTTTCCCAGGCCATAGCAAAGAGCTGGATAGGAAGAGGAGCAGTCGGGACTTGAGCCAGCGCCCATATGGGATACCAGCACTGCAGGTGGCGGCTTTACCCACTACACCACAGTGCCAGATCCCCATACATATACTTTTGTGTTTATTTCAAAAGCATGCATTCCTCAGGTCCAGTGCTGTAACACAGGTTAAGCCTCTGCCTGGGGTGCTGACATCCCATATGGGCGCTGGTTCTGAATCCCAGCTGCTCCACCTCCAATCCAGCTCCCTGCTAATGCTCCTGGGAAGGTAGCAAAAGATGGCCAAAGTGCTTGGGCCCCTGCCACACACATGGGAGACCTGGATGGAGTTGCTGGCTCCTGGCTTCAGCCTGGCCTAGCTCTGGCCTTTGGAGTCATTTGGGGAGTGAACCAGCAGATGGAGGATATGTGTGTGTCCTTTTATTTGTTTATTTTTAATTTTTAAGATTTATTTATTTATCTGAAAGAGTTACACAGAGAAAGAGATGCAGAGAGAGATCTTCCATCTGCTGGTTCACTCCCCAGTTGGCCGCAATGGCCGGAGCTGCACCAATCCGAAGCCAAGAGCCAGGAGCTTCTTCCAGGTCTCCCACATGGGTGCAAGGGCCCAAGCACTTGGGCCATCTTCTGCTTTCCCGGGCCATAGCAGAGAGCTGGATCAAAAGTGGAGCAGTCGGGACTCGAACCAGTGCCCACATGGGATGTTGATGCCATCTTTAGCCCCACCCACTACACCTCAGCACCGGCCCCAGTGTGTGTCCTTTTCTATCATTCTGCTTTCAAATAAATAAGAAAAAATTGTAAAATAAATGCATTCCTCACATTGGAATCTCTAAGTCAGAAGAAATGCAATACATTAAGATGTAGGCCAAGGCCACTGGCTATGCCTAATGCCAAAGCTAAGCCTGCAAAGAGTCCAGCCAGAGAACTGGGCACAGTTGTGAGGGTCTGAGCAGTCTGAGAGTTTTGCTTTGTTTTAAGATTTATTTATTTATTTGAAAGAGAGAGTTACAGACAAGAGAGAGGGAGAGACAGAGAGAGAGGTCTTCCATCCGCTACTTCACTCCCCAAATGACTACAACAGCCAGGGCTGGGCCAGGCCAAAGTCAGAAGCCTGGAACTCCATCCAAATCTCCCACGTGGGTGCAGGGGCCCAAGCACTTGGGCCATCTTCCACTGCTTTCCCAGGCCACAGCAGAGAGCTGGATCGGAAGAGGAGCAGCCGGGACTCGAACCGAGACCCATATGGTGGCGCTGGCCCTGAGAGTTTGGTTTTTAAAGCCAAGAGGGATTGGGCTGCTCCGGGCTGCGACAAGAGTCTAGGGATGGGTGTGAAATTAGTCCTGCCTGGGCTGCCACTTTAGAGTGTGTGATGTCCTCCCGGCCCCAGACCTGTCCCCTTGCGCTCCAGAGGCGAGCGAGAAGAGGGAAGACAATGACCAGAGTGGCCCTAGGCACCCTGGCTGGGCTCAGTCCCTTCTCTGGGGCTACTTCGGGAATGCTGGAGGCTGTCCTGGAAGGGAGCCCTTGAGGTTACCTGAACAAGGGACCCCTTCCCGCAGCCTCTCACAGGCCCTCCCACCCCAGCACCCCCCCACCCCCGCACCCAGAAGCTGGGCTTCTGGGGCCTCAGGCGACAAAAACCCCAGGCAAGCCAGAGGTTGTCCTGCTTCCCTGTGGGTTCCCAAGCTCCTCCCTGTCCTGATCAAAATTCCTGGCTTGGGCTAGGGTTCCTGCCCCACCCACAGTTCTCTGCTCTGCTGCCAGCAACGGCTCTGGTCATTTTGTGCACAACCGGGGTCCCTGCCTGCCCAGCTCAGGGTGCACGGCTGCCGCCCCCCCTCCCCACTCTGAGGTCTGGAGGCATCGCCCGCTCCTCACCCCCACACCCTCTGAGCCCTCAGAGAGCCAGCCTGTGCTGTGGGCTCCGTCTCCTACCCTGCCCCGCCTTCCCGAGCCCTGGGGCTCTCTTTTCAGCTTTTCGCCTGAGAGTTCACCCAAGCACCTTCCTCCACCACAGTTCCCCCTGCTGCGGGCTGGTGTAGTGGTTAAGATGCCATTTGGATCACCCGCATCTTCAAGCCCCTCCTCTGCTCCTGAGTCCAGCTTCCTGCTAATGCACTCCCTGGCAGGCAGCAGGTGACGGCTTAAAGACCTGGGCCCCTGCCACCCATGTGGGAGACCTGGATGGAGTTCTGGGCTCCTGGCTTCAGCCTGGCCCAGCTCTGGCTGTCGCAGGCATTTGAGCAATGCAATAGTGGATGGGAGATCTCGCTCGCTTTCTCTCTCCCTCCCTCCTCCCCTCTCAAACAATAAGTAAGTACATTTTAAAACCATTTTAAAGATTTGTTGATTTGAAATGCAGAGGGAGAGAGAGAGAGAGAGAGAGAGAGAGAGAGGTCTTCCATCCACTGGTTCACTCCCCAAATGGCTGCAATGGCCAGAGTTGAGCCAATCTGAAGTCAAGAGCCAGGAGCTTCTACTGGGTCTCCCATGTGCAGGGGCTCAAGGACTTGGGCCATCCTCTACTGCCTTCCCAGGCCATAGCAGAGAGCTGGATCAGAAGTGGGGCAGCTGGGGCTGGAACTAGCACCCATATGGGATGCCGGCACTGCAGGTGGCAGCTTTACCCACTACGCCACAGAACCAGGCCCCCTAAAAACATTTTAAAGGTAAGGAATTCTCTGTACTGCATCCCTTTTGCTTTCGACCCCACACTGACACCTGTGTCTGAACCCTGGGGCGATGCCCAGTCTCCCTCTTGGGGCCGGGAGACCTCACTAGTGTCTTCCTTCCTCTTGCCGGTCACTCCCCCTGCCTCTCCTGTCCCCACTGTCACCTCTGCATGCACACAGAAGGTCTCTGCGTGGAGGGTGCCACCAGTGAGGCAGTGACAGATGACAAGGACAGGAGCAGGGGAGCACCCTGTGGGCAAAGCAGTCCCGGTTCTCCAGCTAAATTCTGAAACCACACATGTTGGATGCTTGTCGACTACCAGCATATGATTAATTAGGCCCTGACCTTTCTGTGTCTTGGAATAACAGATAAAAGAGTTTACTTGAAAAGAAATCTTTTCATTTGCGTTTCCATGTCACCTGTGCTTTTCTCTGCCTTCCACGGGGCAGCCCTGCCAACTGGCAGGAAGAAGGCCCACAAAGCTGCTGATAAGGGGAGTATAAAAGAGGGCTGTGCTCATGGCTAGGGAGCCTTGGGCATTCTGTCTGCAACATGCTGCGAATCGTGGTGCTCGCGACCCTGGTCCTCTATGGTAAGTGGGCTGCAGGGCTTGAGTTCGATAAGAAAGGACATCAGAGTAGGGGGCGGGGAAACTTCTTGAGTCCCAGCCCAGGACCCAGCTTGCAGGGGTGGGGGTGGGGGGTGCGTACGTCTGCCTCTGAGTCCAGAAAAAGCTTGACTCTCCTGGAGCTGAAGATAGGACATGTCAGCGCCACCAGCCACACAGGCCCCTCTGCGTGCCAGGACCCTGAGCCGAGAAGCAGGGAGAAGCCCTTTCCAGGGAGGGGATTGGGTTTCCCCCTACCCCAGTGACAAGAGGACATTCTTAGCAGGTGCCCGGCTGGGATGTGCATGTTGTTGGCCCTGCTCTGCCCTGGGGTGGCGTTGCGGTGGGGGGAGTTGCTCTCCAGCCAAGGGGTGACCTCGAGCAGACTGAGACCACAGGGAGCCTCTGGGGCTCTAGGCCCCCCGCCCCGGTGGTGGGGAGGCGGAACCTGAGTCAGAGCCCTTCACAGAGTTGCCAGGGCTCTGGGGACAGCTTGGGGAAGCAGAAGGCACTCAGGCCCCCACCCCTGCTTTCAGAAAGGGGCTCAGTACACTTCCAGCGAGGGCTGGGGGTGCCCCCATTTGTCCGGGAGGAGCTGTGAATTTGCAGACATGGCTAACGTGCCTCAAAGCAAAGCCGCCGCCACCCGCCCCCACCGGGCCTGACCCGTGCTTAGTCATCACTCACTTTTCTTCTACCCCACAAAGGACACAGTACCCAGGACCTTCCGGAAACCAACACCCGGGTTGTCGGAGGGACTGAAGCTAAGAAGAATGCCTGGCCCTCTCAGGTGGGTGTGCCTCTAGTGGGACTTTCACCCTGAGTCACACCTGCTGGACGCACACACACACACACACACACAGCCGCGTGTCTGAGGCGGCTCAGCAACAGGTGCCCTTCTGCCTGTCTAGGGTCCAGATGTTAAAAAGATGGATGGCCCTGGGTAAGGTGCTTTCTTAGAAGAAGGGGTCCCGCATGAACAGTGACACCACTCACACCACTCTCAGCAACCCAGACTCACACCTCTGACTCTGCATACCTTGAAACACACACAGCACACACACACACACACACACACACACACGTGTGGCGTGTGCATTTTCACAGGGAGTTTCTACCGTTGTAACAGGACAGCTGGAGCCTGGTGTGAGCAGGTGTAAGTGTGCGATGCTGGCCACATCGCTGGTGATGGGGCACATTTTGAAGGGCTCATGAGATGTGAGATGGGATTCCGTTTACGAAAGTGTGAGCCTCAGTTGTCGGGAGCAGAGCTAATGTACAGTGGGAGGCGTGAGAGGAGGAGCCGCGGACTGTCGAGAATGATGGCCCCTCTGGTGGGGAGCGGGGGTGAGCTCTGCAGATCTGAGCTTTTGGGGCTGGGCTGGAGGAGCAAGTCCTTGGCTGCATTTCCTCCCCAGAGGGAATGGAGGAAGAACCTGGGTCCTGGGCCATGGCAGTTACTGGGGGTGGGGTGGGGTGCCAAAAACAAGGGGGCTTCTCAAAGGCAAATGGCCCAAGTGTTTGGGTCCCTGCCTCCCATGTGGGGTGTCTTGGCTCCCGGCTTCACTTTGGCCCAGAACTGGCTGTTGTGGCCATTTGGGAAATGAACCAGTGGATGGAAGATCTCTATCTATGCATCTCTCTCTCTCTCTCTCTCTCTCTCTCTCTCTCTCTCTCACCTATTATCCTTCTATCTCTGTCTCTCCTGCCCCCCTCTCTGATGCTCTGCCTTTCAAATAGGTAAACAAATTTTTAAAGGTAAGTTTATGTTGGTGCAAAAACTTTTAAATTTATGTATTTGAAAGTCAGAGAGAGAGAGAGAGATATATCTTCAGTCTGCTGGTTCACTCCCCAAATTCCCACAACAGCCAAAACTGGGCCAGGTCAAAGCCAGGAGCCTGGAACTCCATCTGTGACTTCCACATGGGTGGCAGGAACCCAAGTATTTGATCTGTCAGCCTCTGCCTCCCAGGGTGCACACGAGCAGGAAGCTGGACTAGAAGTGGGAGCTGGGACTACACAAACCTGATGCTCTTATCAGGGGATGCAGGTGTCCCGAGTGGCAGCTTCAGTCTTTGCCCTTGGAGCAAAAGCTTTGGCCAGCCATGGCTAGTTTTTCATGATACGCATTTCTGGAGACCCCCGCCCCATGCACGGGGTGTGTACACACAGTGGATATCAGTGAGCCATGCAGCTCTTTCCTGCTGATTCCTCTTCTCAGCACCACACTCCGGGAAGCCCTGCAAAGCAACGGACTGCATTGCCAAGCGCCGAGGAAACCCGTTCACCATCATAGCCCAGGGTGCCGGAGAACGCTTTGAGCGATACCCGGGACTTAAGGAGGTAGCAGGCTCAAAAGGGGTGGAGAAATCCTTTTTGAGAAACACCAGTCTTTCCCTCCTCTCTCCCCCTACCCCCCTCCAGATCTCTCTCCAGTACAAATCGGGAAGCTCCTGGTATCATACTTGTGGAGGGACCCTCATCAAGAGTAACTGGGTGATGACAGCTGCTCACTGCGTGGACTCGTGAGAAAATGATCCATTTTCCTGGGCCCTGGGAGGGGAAGGGGCTGGCTTTGATGTCTCAGAGCATGCTGTGAAGGGGTGGGCAGTGGGTTGCGGGGTCGACAGGGAGGTAGGACCCGTATAACAAAAAGGACAGGCTTTGGAGTGAGGCAGGCTTGAGTTCCAGAGTCTTCTGGCCAGGCAGCCTGGAAGTGCGCGGCTCTGTGCCCCATTCTCTCAGATGAGGTCATAATACCTTCTTTGTAGTTGTTGTGAGAAGTGAGTAAATATTGAAGTGCCTACTCGAGGTCTGACTGGTGACTATTTTTTCCTGTTTGTCATGAGCAATGGTTCTCACATTTGTACTTGGATCAGAATAACCCGGAAGGCAGATTGTTGGGCTCAAACCAGCAGAGTTTCTGATTTGGTAGGTCCAGAGCAAGACCTGAGAATTTGCCTTTCTAACAAGACTCCAGATGATGCTGGGCCAGCCATCATGTTTTAAGAACGAATAGTCTAGGGGGCAGGTGTTTAGCCTGGTAGTTAAGACACCTGTGTCCCATATTGGCGTGCCTGGGTTCAATACTTGGCTCTGGCTTCTGAATCCAGCTTCCTGCTAATCCAGACTCTGTGAGGCAGCCCTGACAGCTCATGTAGTTGAGTCCCTGCCACAACTGTGGGAGATCTGAATTGAGTTCATGGCTCCCAGCTTGGCAGGCATTGAAGGAGTGAACTAGCAGATAGAAACTTTCTTTCTCTGACTCTCAAGTAAATAAATAAAAATTTTTAAATGATTTATTTATTTGAGAGGCTGACTTACAGAGACAGAGACACACAGAGAGGTCCTCTATCCGCTGGTCCACACCCCAAATGGTTGCAACGGCTGGAACTGAGCCGATCCGAAGCCAGGAGCCTCCTCCGGATCTCCCACATGGGTGCAGGGGCGCAAAAACCTGGGCCATCCTCCACTGCTTTCCCAGGTCACAGCAGAGAGCTGTGGCTCAGAAGTGGAGCAGCTGGGACCCGAACCGGCGCCCACACGGGACACCAGCATCACAGGTGGCAGCCCAACCTGCTACAGCCCCCCAAGTAAAAATTTTAGAAAGCTAATAGTCTAGAAATGTGTATTTCCTTTAAAAGTCTCTCTGAGGCAAGAAGCCATTATTTCATTTATGCTCACTAACCTCTCCCAAGTTAGGAACTATGCAGTTCCCGATGCTTAGCTTAATAAACTGTGCAGATTAAGGCGATAATAGTTAGCTTCATTGCCACAAGTGCCTAACTCAGCAAATGAGAGCGCTTGTTACCCCTCATCTTTGAGGGTCTTTTTTGTCTCTTCTTTGCCCGGGGCCAGATGAGATGTCTGTGAACTTTTACCGAAAGGGGAGAAGGAAGAGGTTGAGCCCCAGGGATCACGCCAGGCTTCTCTTACTCCAGCCAATTGACCTTCCGCGTGGTGGCTGGCGAGCACAACCTGAACCAGAACGACGGCACCGAGCAGTACGTGAGCGTCCAGAAGATTGTGAAGCATCCATCCTGGAACAGCAATAACGTGGCTGCAGGGTAGGGGCAAAGCCGGGCTGGCAAGGGAGCGGGGGTGGAGGGCTCCCTAGCCAGGGAGTGGATCTCGGCTTTCTCTCCATGTTCTTCTAGAGGGCTGTGGTGGGCTGGCCTTTGGCTGGGGAGCCCCACTGAACCCTCACCGGATCCTGCAGGGAGCAGGGCAGCCTTTTGTGTGTTTCTTCTTTTGAGAATTCTGTCTCAAGTCAATCCCTTCTCTTTCCTGGGATGTAGAGGAGAGCTAGGCTGCAATTCTGGGCTATTACCAGTAGGTGGTGCTGTTAAACACTTAATGTCCCACCACCCTGTTGCTGGCTGCTCGTTTGGGGCCAGCAAGGGAGCACCCTATTTCATTTGTCATTTGTGTCCAAGCCCACGGGGACATAAAAGCTAAGAGAGGGCCAGCGAAGGCCTGACTGCCCCCTCCCCCCTCCCACTTTCCTCCTGCAGCTATGACATCGCCCTGCTGCGCCTGGCCCAGAGCGTGACCCTCAATAGCTCCGTCAAGTTGGGTGTCTTGCCCCAGTCGGGAGTCATCCTGCCCAACAACAACCCCTGCTACATCACAGGCTGGGGCAGGACCAAGAGTAAGTCACCCGCCATGGCGTCAATCCCCTCAGGGACCCTAACTAGACAGCTGGGTTTCTGGAGTACAAGACCAAGAACGTGAGGAACCACAGATGAAATGCGTGATTGTTAAAGCGAACTGGGAGGTGGTTATGGAGGCGTCGAGGCAGAGATTCTTAGAAAGACTTAGGAAAGACTGACCTCAGAGAAGATTCCATACTAGCTCCTTTTTTTTTTTTTTTTAAGAGATTCGTTTATTTGAAAGGGAAAGAGGGAGAGGGAGAGACAGGTGAGAGAGAGAGAGAGGAAGAGAGGGAGAGAGATCTTCCATCCACTGGTTCACTCCCCAGATGGCCACAATGGCCGGGGCCAGGCCAGGCTGAAGCCAGGAGCCAGGAGCTTCTTCCGGGTCTCCCACGTGGGTGCAGGGGCCCAAGCACTTGGGCCATCTTCTACTGCTTTCCCAGGCCACAGCAGAGAGCTGGATCAGAAGTGGAACAGCTGGGACGTGGGCTAGCATCCATATAAGATGCCAGTGTTACAGGCAGTGGCTTTACCCACTATACTACGACACTGATCCCAATCCCCTCATTTAAAAAAATTATTTATTTATGTGAAAGGCAGAGTTACAGAGAGTGGGGGAGGGGTCTTCCATCTGCTGGTTCATTGCCCAAATGAGCCCGACGGCCAGTGCTGGGCCAGGCCAAAGCCAGGAGCCAGGAGCTTCTTCCAGGTCTCCCATGTGGTGCAGGGGCCCAAGCACCTGGGCCATCTTCTACTGCTTTCCCAGGCACATTAGCATGGAGCTGGCTCAGAAGTGGAGCAGCCGGGACTCGAACTGGCAGCATCGCAGGTGGCAGCTTAACCCACCTCTGCCACAATGCCAGCCCCCAGCCCCTCATTTTATACAAGAGGACACAGAGGCCTAAAGAAATTAAGGCCCTTGATCACTTGTTAGTGCAGAGCTGAGACCAGAAGCTGGGCATCCCGGCTGCCGCCGTGGTCCTATCAAGCTACGTCCACAGACACGCACTGGGCAGTGAGTGGGAGCGAGTGATCCGAGGGTAGCTGCGGATCTAGGCAACTCAGATGAGTCAGGGCAGAGGAGGCCATGAACAGAGAGAGTGAAGAAGGGCAGAAAGCCATGAAGCCTGACACGGGAGTCTGTTGCTCACCAGGCAAGCATCCAGGCTTCTGCAGGAGAGACAAGACAAGTCAGTCAGTCTACTGGGAAAACCTGGAGCTGAGCGGACATGGGCTTCTCCCCGCATCAAATGTGCTCACTGCATGTGACGTCACGAAAGGGTTGTTGGAACGAACCAAAGAAATAATTCATGTGCAACAGCTCTGAGAAAGAGCCAGGGAAAGGAAAGCTACATCAAGCTCGCCAAGCAATAGACACAAGTGTGCGTAATCGCAGTCAGGCAGGCTTACCAACAAACAGGACAGCCTGGATACCTCCCTACGTCACAGAAGCAGCAGTAGGATTGGCAGTTTGGAGCACAGAATGGCAAGCAAGGAGGACTCCCTAAAGGAAGAGGCCTGAAGCTGTCATATAAAGAGGAAAGTGGTGGGGTGCCCGGCGAGGGACAGGCAGGGAGGTGGAGTCTGCCCAAGGTTTGGTGGGTGGGGTGCTGAAGGTTTCTCCCCGGGACAGCAAACTGGGGCTGACTCCTGATGTTATGTGTTCTGTCCAGCCAACGGGCAGCTGGCCCAGGCCCTGCAGCAGGCCTCTCTGCCCAGTGTGAGCTACTCCACCTGCTCCAGCTCTTCCTACTGGGGCTCCACCGTGAAGAACACCATGGTGTGTGCTGGCGGAGACGGAGTCCGCTCTGGGTGCCAGGTGAGCCCGTGCACGAGGCGTTCTGGTCCCGCTCTCCCTCTCCGCCTCCGCCCTCATCCCCTGTCTCACATCTGCTCCCACGCCCTGGTGCAGACTCAACTTCCTACCCTGGCATCAGAATGAGAAGCCTTCCGTGGCAATCACGAATGTCAAAGTCCAAAGGAAGCTTGAAATTCATCTTGCCCAGTGCCACCCCCCCCCCACAAAGCGTACATACGGCCCTGACATTCGCGTGTTGGCCCTTGTGTGTGTGTTTCTTTGGAAGCTGCATGTGACCTACATCTTTTATGGAAGCAATGAGGGTGGCCTGAGGGGTTGTTGTCATTGGATAGGTGACCCCACTCCCAAAGGTCCCAATTTGTCTCATAGTTCCTTCATCACCACCCCTTTAGTGTTTAGTATTTATAGCAGCACATCAGGTGAGTATGGGAGGAGAAAGTACCCAAAATAATTGTATGATGTTTTATGTATAGCAGGGTGAATTCTCTTCTATTCAGACATATTACAGGGTTTCTAATGCAGTTCAACAACTCTTCATGCTGTATCGACTGCATGCTGGCAGTGCGCTAAATACTAGGGATGCGAAATGAACCAAACAAGGTGAAAGACAGGAACAGATCATCAGACATACAATGGGAGCTGGTAATTCAGCGTGGCTATGTGTTGTGATATGGGTATGCATGGAGTGAGGCGAGATCCTGGGAACAGGTGCCTACCTCTACCTGCTGAATAAGAAAAGAAGCGTTCCTTGAGAAAGTGGAATCTATTGTGAGTTCTAAAGGTTCAAGGGGAAAACGTCAGGCAAAAAAAAAAAAAGAAAAAAAAAGAAAAAGAAAAAGAAAAAAAGCACAGACATTCAGAGGGAAGAAAGAGTGTAGAAGAAGGCAAGGGGCCAAGAAACAACCTGGAAAGCATAGAGAAGTTGAGGGCGCGCCCTACGGCCCCAGCAGGGCTGAGGGCGGAAGCCCACAAGCCAGATCCAGCCCCCTGCCTGTTTTATTTGTATGGCCTGTGAGCTAAGAGTGGCTGTTGCATTTTTCAATGGTTAGAGGGGGAAAAAATAAAAATATTTCCTGATGTGTGAAAAAATTAGTTTTTAGACATAACACTGTATTGGAACCCAGCTGGTTGTTCACTTTCTTCTTCTTCTTCTTCTTCTTCTTCTTCTTCTTCTTCTTCTTCTTCTTCTTCTTCTTCCTCTTCCTCTTCCTCTTCCTCTTCCTCTTCTTCCTCCTCTTCCTCCTCTTCCTCTTCCTCTTCCTCTTCCTCTTCTTGTTTGTGGCTGCTTTTGCACCATCATGCAGACGCTGTGACGGAGACTGTATGGCCCACAGGGCTTGACGTAGGTCCTGTTTGGGCGTTTACGGAAGATGGTTGCTGACCCTGACCTAGACGGAAACCCTTACCATATACGCAATGTCAAAGTGAGAGTAGAGAGGCCAGAGGGAGCCTCCGGGCTTTGGCTCCCAGTGCCTTGCCTGGAGACATGCATTTTCTCCCTGAAGGTTTGGAAACAGAACAGCATGAGCAGATTTGCTTTTAGGAGCGCTGAGAGGCGAGGAGACTGGGTGGCGGCTCTTGCAATGGCTCGGGCAAGGCTTGGAGGTCTCAGTTAGGGTAGTAATAGTAGGAATGGGCAGGAGAATCTCCAGTGACCTCCAGGCTTGTGGTTTAAGGGATCTGGACAGGGAGTTCCTGTCTCCAGTGACACAAGACTTACAGGATTCAGGGAGGGAAGGTGACAAATTTGGTTCTGGACAAATTGAGTTTGAGATCCTAGTGGGACAGTCATGGGTGGGTTGACCACTAAGAAATTCAGATAAGAAAATGGAGCCTTGGCCTGCGCCGCGGCTCACTAGGCTAATCCTCCACCTTGTGGCACCAGCACACCGGGTTCTAGTCCTGGTTGGGGCGCCGGATTCTGTCCCGGTTGCCCCTCTTCCAGGCCAGCTCTCTGCTGTGGCCAGGGAGTGCAGTGGAAGATGGCCCAAGTGCTTGGGCACCCCATGGGGGACCAGGATAAGTACCTGGCTCCTGCCATCGGATCAGCGCGGTGCACCGGCCGCAGTGTGCTGGCCGCGGCGGCCACTGGAGGGTGAACCAACGGCAAAGGAAGACCTTTCTCTCTCTCTCTCTCACTGTCCACTCTGCCTGTCAAAAAAAAAAAAAAAAAAGAAAGAAAAAAAAAAAAAAGAAAGAAAATGGAGCCTGGGAGAGAGAGAGAGAGACTTGGGTTAGAAGTATCTTTGAGAGCAAATGAAAGCCCTCCCAAGAACGGTTGCAGGAGAGAGAGAGAGAGAGAGAGAGAGAGAGAGAAAGTAGGTTGGAGAAGAACTATGAGAACATAAGTGTTTGGGTGGCCAGAGGTAGGTGGAGGACAAAGAACTCACTAGGATTTAAGAAGGGAGGAGTAGAGAGAGGTAAGAGAAAAATATGGAAGAAGAGTTTACATAATCTCAGGAAATACTGATCATCACCCAACACACAGAGGAGCCAGCCAGGAGCCACTGCAGATAAGAATTCCAATGGCTACCTGGGCAGTTGGTGACTCATTGGTAATCGCGGCAAGAGCACCTTTGGTGGATTGAGGACTGAGTTTGATTGAAGGGTGAGGAGTAAAGAGGCAACTAGAACTACAGCAAGGAATGCACGTTCCTCTCCCAAGAACCCTGGGTGACACGGAGGAACGGAAGAGACCTAGACGCTTTAAGGACAGCAAGTCTTGGGCAGGGTAGATCTTTAAAAGAGGAAGGAAGTTGGTTATCAGAGAGGAAAGGATCCTAGCGAGCCAGACAGAGGGATTAGTAGATGGCACGAGATCCCTGGAGGAGAGAGACAGAGACGGGAGCAGAGCGGGAGCTGGCTTTGACCAGGAAGACAGCACGTGTGGCATGGAGGGGAGTTTGCAGCCTGGGGAGCTGGCAGGTTCTGGGTTATTGCTTCTAGTTACTCATGAACTGGGAGCCATCTACCTGAAGGCAGAAAGGGACAAAGGTTGCACAGATCTGCAGTAACTGAGGTGAATGGGGAAAGGACTGAACTGCAAGGTGGTGCCCACAGGCTGAGGTTGAGGACCGGGCGACAACCACGTGGACGTGTGTCATTGCACGTCACTCAAAGACTGGGTTGTAAGGGAATGGATTAACCCAGGGCTGGGCTCTCTCTTGCATGACTGGCGTGGAAGAAGAACAGAGTTGCAGGTCCCTGCCAGGTGGGGGAGGAGAAGCCAGTAGGAGACTGGGAGGCTGGCTGAAATCCAGTGAAAGAATTTAAAGGGTTTTTGTGAGCCCAGAGAAATAAAATGATCGGTTCACCCTAGTTTTCTTGGGACTTTCCCAGGGACTCTACATATATGGGGATAGCAGCAAAAACCAGGGAAGTGGGGAGGAGAGGGACCGACAGGTAAACAGGTAACACCACCTTCTCCAGGTCTTTACAGCCAGCTCCACCTGACCTGAGGTGCAGCCTTTCTGAGCTCATTCACGCCCTTCTGTCTGTCTGTCTGTCTGTCTCTCTGAAAAACTAGAGTGCTTTCTCCTGGCTGCCGCTCCTCGCTGACAGTTCTCTGAGTCAGTGGTGTCCCTGGGCCCGTCCCGCTGCAGTTTCTCGAAGGCTGTGCCTGCTAGGGTTCTGGGTCCCCGCCCTGCCGCTCCCAGTGCATTCCCCGAGCCCTTTCCCGCAGCATCAGTGCAGGCCCACTGAGAGTGTTCGCAGCTCTTCCTTCTGCTGTGAAATCCTGCCACACCCTCCATCTCTCCAGAGCCTGGGTCTCTTTTCAGCTCAAATAGCTTAAAATCATTGTATTACAATATGTACAATTCAATTATCTTCCATTCCTCTCGTTCGGACATACTCTCAAATCTCTGTTAGAATTGGGGTGGAAAGGATTCGGTTGCTTTGAGTACAAGAATGGAAATCAATAAGCTAAAAAAAACCATCTTTTCCTAAAGTAGCAGCTAAGGGTAGGGTACAGCTAGTTCCTCTTTAGAAGAAAATTAGCCCCAGTTTGAACTTTTGGTCTCTTTCTCTAGTTCTTCTTTCTGTTTTGTTTCATTATGGAATAGATTTTTTTTTTAAAGTTTACTTATTTGTGTTTAGTTGAAAGGCAGAAAGAGAGAGCTCTTCCATCGTCCGGCTCACTCCCCAAGTGGCTGCAGCAGCCAGGACTGGGCCGGGACAAGGCCAGGAGCCAGGGACTCCATCCGAGCCTCCCATGTGCGTGGCACAGACCCAAGTTCTTGAGCCATTTTCTGCTGCTTTCCAGGGTTCACATTAAAGGAAGTTGGCTTGGAAGCAGAGATGGGACTGCATCCCAGGCTCTCTGATACCGGGGCTTGAGTGTCCCAAGGGGCAGCTTTAACCTGCTACACCACAACGCCCACCCCTAGCTCTTATTTTTTTATTTTTTTATTTTTTTGACAGGCAGAGTGGACAGCGAGAGAGAGAGACAGAGAGAAAGGTCTTCCTTTTGCCATTGGTTCACCCTCCAATGGCCGCCGCGGCCAGCGCGCTGCGGCCGGCGCACCGCACTGATCTGGTGGCAGGAGCCAGGAGCCAGGTGCTTTTCCTGGTCTCCCATGGGGTGCAGGGCCCAAGCACCTGGGCCATCCTCCACTGCACTCCCTGGCCACAGCAGAGAGCTGGCCTGGAAGAGGGGCAACCGGGACAGAATCCGGCGCCCCGACCAGGACTAGAACCCGGTGTGCCGGCGCCGCTAGGCGGAGGATTAGCCTAGTGAGCCGCGGCGCCGGCCCCTAGCTCTTATTTTTTAAGTTTTCATTTTTACTGAAGCTCTATACCTATTAAATTGCTTGAATTGGCAAGTAAGTCTCTGAGACTCAATGGAAAACAACTGTCATGATGCTGTCTAGCTTTCTCATCCCCAGAGGGGACCACTTTTCAATTCTTTTCAGCTAATTCTCTGGCACTCCTCACCTTTAAAAAAACACAACATATTTACATTACTACTTAAGTTTTCAGTTCAGGCATTATGGGAGATGGGGCTGTTTCCTTTTCTATGCGTACATACCTGCTCCCCTACGCATAAACTTTTCCCATCACTTTCTCAATCGCCCGAAATCATTTTGGTGAGATCCACATTCGGTGTTTATTATAATTATGTGAAGTGCTGTTTACAAATGGTGTGGTATTCTAGGGTTACCTTCCCTTCCCCACATCACTCTCTTCCCCAGGGTTAGTAATGGGCTCTTTCATCTGGTTAATGCGTGGTCAGGTTCCCACTAATTCCACCACACATTCTCCAGTCATTTGTAGCTGACATGTGTCTCGGTGGGTTCATCTGCATTCATGGTGAGGGACAATTATGGGACATTTTTTCCTGGAAACTCCAAATCTTTGGTCCTGAAAATATTGTTTATTTGATCATGTCTCCCCCTCCATCTTTAGTTTTCTGTTTCTAGAATTTCTGCTATTTACACGTTCACTTCCTAAACAGGTTCTCTGATTTTCTCTATATTTTATGTGTTCTTTTTGTCCTAGCTTTTCTAATCTTTCATTTCTGCTATGAAGTTTATAATTTCCAAAGGTTATTTTTGTTCTCTTAATGTTCTGTTTAATAGCATACTGGTCTTATATCATTGATATCATCTTTTTATTAAAAAAAGAAATATTTATTTATTTGAAAAGAAGAGTCACAGAGAGGCAGAGGCACAGAGAGGCGGGGGGGGGGGGGGAGAGGCAGAGAGAGAGAGAGGTCTTCCATCTGCTGGTTCAATCCCCAGATGGCCACAACGGCCAGAGCCATGCTGATCTGAAGCCAGGAGTCAGGAGCTTCCTCCAGGTCTCCCACACAGGTGCAGGGGCCCAAAGACTTGGGCCATCTTCTACTGCTATTCCAGGCCATAGCAGAGAGCTGGATCAGAAGTGGAGCAGCCGGGACTCGAACTGGCAGCCATATGGGATTTGGCACTGCAGGCAGTGGCTTTACCCACTATGCCACAGTGCCAGACCCCTTGGATATAATCTTAATCATAGCTTCATTGCTTGTTTTCTTCTCTGTGCTTGGTTGCCTTCATATTTTGTTTCTGCGTTTTGACCTTTTATTTTTGTATTAGAGGTCGTCATCGGATGTTTGGTGATCCCTCACCGTCTGCTCTTATTTCAGGGTGGAGTTGTAGCTCTGAGCCTTAGAGGAAATTTGTCTATAGCAGACTTCTTTGGCTAGGCCACTGTTGTGGATGACTGTCAATGTCAGTGTCTTTGGGTCTTTCCTCTTGCCTGGCCAGATGTCCCAGAGAAATATCTTCTAATGTTATGCTTGGAGTTATAGACTTGGCATGCTGGGAGCTGAGTGAGAAACATGCCAAGCCCAAATTCTATAAATTCAGGTTCCTCTGATTCTAAGCCTCAGCGTGAAACCACAACCCAATGCCTCAGTTTCTCTCCTCTGCACTGTATTTTTCATTTAAAGAGTATAGATTACCTACCCTGAGCCCAAATCCTTGATCTATGTAGACCCATTGGTTTAAATGCTGGGGATGACAGAGTCACTAGAATTCCTGCCTGCTCAACCCCAAACTCAAGCCAGTGAAAGCTATTGAAATTAAGATGTGCAAAGTTCTACGCTAGCATCCTGGAGGGGAAAGATAGTAAGACATAGTTCCTGTCTGAAGAAGCTCAAAGATGTGTGTGGGAGGTAGAAACAAATTATGAAACCAAAATACGAGCCAGATCAGGACATACGTGCTGCAAAGGGGAGGAAGAAGTGCTGCGGTTGTTTAGAAAGGACAAGATTCATTCTGATTGTGGGGTGTGAAGGAAGTGGAGCTCTGAATCAGAACTTTAAAACTGTACAGCAAAAACAAAGACCCAAAGCGCCGACGACCTGGAGTTTTAGGACTCCACTTCTGCTCTCTGCAGGGTGATTCTGGGGGCCCTCTCCATTGCTTGGTGAATGGCCAGTACGCTGTCCACGGAGTGACCAGCTTCGTATCCAGCCTGGGTTGCAACGTCAGCAAGAAGCCCACAGTCTTCACCCGGGTCTCTGCTTACATCAGTTGGATAAATAATGTGAGTCTTTTTGAATGATGGGTTGACACAGATTCAACTGGAGATCCAAGCACTGATTGGTTTGGGGAGCAAAAGTTGGGTTGGGGAAGCCAGCAGCTTCCTTACCACGCTCATGAGTTTATTTCTTTCCCTTCCCTCTGTAGCACAATTTCCCCCAGTAACACTGCCCCCCCCCCCCAGTTCCTCTTCACATACCCACTGAGCAAACTTACTGCATACACTAAGACAGGGGCATCAGCAGTTCTGAACCAAGCACGTATCAGTGCGGTGCTAAGTCAAAGCCAGGGGAAAACCAGCTTCAGAAAGGCCTGCACGCTTCTGGGTACAAGAGCAAGGCGTCAACATCCTCTCTCATGCCTCTGTCTGGGGCCTTTGTGGAAATTTGCTCTGACTTTGGAGAGAAGTTGTCGCATCTTAAATAAACCGGGCTCGATGGAGGGTTAGGTGACTCTGCCTGTCCCGATCTGAGAGTCACCCAGCGCATCTCACTGTTCCCTCCAGCCTTTAGATGTTTTCTCGAGCCGCATGAATCTTGGCTCATGGCCATTTGCTGGGTATGAACCCATAACACAGAAATATCCTGGTGTAACTCGGCCTTGTTTCTTGCCCCCACCCCCTCTCAACTCCCTGGAAGCTCAGTACCAAGTCAACTTTTATTTTTTAAAATATTTACTTATTTAATTGAAAGTCAGAGTTACAAAGAGAGAGAGAGAGAGACAGAGAAAGACAGTAGAGAGAGAGAGAGAGAGAGAGAGAGAGATCTTCTATCTGCTAATTCACTCCCCAAATGGCTGCAACAGCCAGAGCTAGGCCAATCCAAAGCCAGGAGCTTCTTCCAGGTCTCCCACATGGGTGCAGGGGCCCAAGTCCTTGGGCCATCCTCTGCTGCTTTCCCAGGGGCATTAGCAGGGAGCTAGATTGGAAGCAGAAGAGCTGGGACTCGAAACAATGCCCGTATGGGATGCCAGCACTGCAGATGGCAGTTCGCCTTGGTGCACCACACTGCCAGCCCCTCAGATCATGTTTAACTAGGAGCTTTGAGGAGATAGAAGGGAGGTGGGCCGAAGTTACTATCTGTGGATTTTTCTGTCTTTTCCTTCAGGCCATAGCTTCCAACTGAGCCTTCTTCTGAGTCCAACTGCCTACCCAAGATGGCTCCTACATCTGCCACAGACTCAAGGTCAACAAGGAAAAAGCTTTCAAAGAGACTCCTGCGCCACACTCAAAAAGCAAATAAAAAACTGAATATACAGTAAACTACTGTGTCTTTCCATCTGTAATTAAGGCCTCTAGAGGAAATGCAGGAGAGGGCCCAAGTTGGATTTCACACCTAGGGGCTGGTTCTTCTGGGGGCTGCTTTAAAAAAAAATTAACAGTCTCCATTTGTAGAATCTTACTAGATTATAATACATGAATAATTTTTAAAGCTTTATTTATTTATTTATTTGAGAGGCAGAGGCAGAGAGAGAGAAAGAGAGAGAGAGAGAGAGAGAGGTCTTCCATCTGCTGGTTCACTCCCCAAATGGCTGCTATGGACAGAGCTGGGTTGATCCGAAGCCAGGAGCCAGGAGCTTCTTCTGGGTCTCCCACACAGGTGCAGGGGCCCAAGGACTTGGGCCATTCTCTACTATTTTCCTAGGCCACAGCAGAGAGCTGGATTGGAAGTGGAGCAGCCAAGACTCGAACCGGTGCCCATATGGAATGCCGGCACTGCAGGTGGCAGCTTTACCCGCCACACTACAGCACCAGCCCCACCATGAATAATTTTTAAAATATTTATTTAGTGGGTAGAGTGACAGGAGACAGAAACAGACACACACACACACACACACACACACACACAGAGAGAGAGAGAGAGAGAGAGGTCTTCTATCTGTTGATTCACTCCCCAAATGGCAGCAACAGCCAGATCTGAGTCAAGTCAAAGCCAGGAGCCAGGAACTCCATCCTGGTCTCCAACATGGAAGGCAGGGGCTCAAGTATTCAAGCCATCTTCAGTTGCCTTCCCAGGTGTATCAGCAGGAAGCTGGATCTGAAGTGGAGCAGCTGGGACTCCAATCAGCACTCTGATGTGGGGTGCTGGTTTCGCAAGCAGAGGCTTAACATGCTGCACCCCGTCACTGGCCCCCGAAGGCTGCAATCCTTACCAGGGCCCAAATTAAGCCCAGTGGGAGTAGTTTTATATCATCCAATTCCAGTTATTTTAGTATCTACTCACCCATTAATCTGTTTGGTCTCCTGTCTTCTCTTGTGCCTATTTTCTGTAATCAAAGGCATAGAATGCTTGGAAAAGATCCTGAGAGGAGACCGTAGGCTCATACTTCTTGGTTCACTCTTCAGTGCCTAGAACAAGCGCTCATCCTGGGCTTCTGAGTGATGCCAACAACTGGGATACAGTACAGACAAGAGTGTAGGCTTAGGAGGTGGGTCAGATGCAAGTGAGAAGTCAGAAAGGAGGCTAGAGAAAAAAGCATAGAAAAAAAAGAAAAGAAGATGTGAAACAAAGCAAGGGAAGGGGTGAGGGGAAGAGACAGAGCAGAAAGGAAGAGGCAGCAATAGGAGGCCTCAAGCTAAGTGTGAATCAGCAGTTTGGGGCTGGGACTAAAATAGGCCAACCGGATCCAGGGTTCTATAAACCACAGAGAGCCGGGAACCAGATAATTCTGCTGTATCCTGGTCAGGGCTCTGACTGTCAGCATGGTCTACCAGGAGACCAGGGGGAGGGCTTGAAAGGAGAAGTCTGACAAAATGGAAAGCAGCTTTTTCATAGCAATCCCTGACGGGCAGACAAAAGGCACGAGGGGTAATAAACATCATAGCCAGAAAGACAGTGGCTGAGACAGGCTAGTATCAGCAGCAGCTTCTAGAACATTCTGTAGGCTAGGAAGAGACTGGACTGGAGCCAGGACACCTGTGTTCCTGTCCCAGTTTTACCACTGAGGAATGGGATAGCCCTTGGGCAACTTGCCAATCCTTTCGAAGGCTCAGTTTCCCCATCTGGTTAACTGTGGCTCCTGCCCGGTAGCTGCACAATCCGGTGATCATCAACTTTAATTCCCAAGATGTTTGTACTAAAGGGTCTTTCTTGGGAAGTAGTGGCTGGGATGCATTGCTGAGGGTGCTGCCAAGTTCTGGGAGGGACAGGTATTGGTCTCTGCTGGTATCACACCTGTTCTTGTGAGGTAGGAAGTCAGAAATTCAGCCTATGTGTGTGTGCAGGGCCTGAAGACCAGCACCTACCTGGAAGCCCCAGAAGCCCAGCATTTTGCACTTCAAAGTCCTGCCCAGACCCTGAGAACCTCCCAGGTGGACCCAGCCCTCCCCCCAGGGAGAGCTCCCAGGAGAATTCTCTCCTCAGGACCAAATACCTGACCTGATAACACAGGGCAATAAAACCTTCTCAGCCTTCCTAAGGGAAACCCCCCTACTCTGCCCGGGCACCAGCAAACCTGGGGAGGAATTTGCTAATTTTCACCCAACAAACCCTTCTGCCAGGGCTCCCCCTCCTTTGTCCTGGAGGAGAGGGGGAGGTGGGTAAACAGACTCCCTTAAAAACCTAGGGAGTCCAAACAGACCACCCGCTCAGCCCTCTGCCTCTCTCTCCGCTCTATGTCTCATACCTGAATTCTTTCTTGCGTGGATACAAGAACCCCAAGGCTTCCACGGACTTTTCTCCGTGACATTCTCACTGCCATCGTCTCTCAGGGCCCACAGTACCACCATCCTCTGGGTTTCTCCTCACTCCTTCCCATCCAACATCAAGTCATGTAACATTTTCTTCATTCTGCCTCTTCCAGGCCAACCCCAAAGTCGGCATAAAAAATAAAACCAAATTACCTACTACCTGAAAGTTTTGTATAAATTGAATTAGGTACATCTAGTTACCAACTTCTCTTTACCTCCAGACTTTAAAAAAATTTTTTTTTATTTGAAAGGCAGCGTTAAAGGAGGAGAGTTATCTCCCATCTGCTGATTTATTCCCTAAATAGCTGCAATGGCCAGGACTGGGCAGAGCCAGGAGCCAGGAGCTTCATTCAGGTCTCCCACGCAGGTGCAGGGGCCCAAGGACTTGGGCCACCTTCCACTTTCCCAGGCCATAGCAGAGAGCTGGATCAGAAGTAAAACAGGGCTCCAACTGTCAGCAGACAAGAGTGGAATAGGTTATTGTCTTTGCACAACAAATTCAAACGTGAGACAAGCAAGGCCGCCAGGTCTAATGAGGTAGGGCATCCGTCAGAATGGATGGGCGAGACCTTTCCAGACGCGGTTCTGGTCATTCAGACGGAGAAGCAAGGTTACACGGTTCAACGGAGAGAAGACACCTGACAAGGCAGGTGGGCGGCCCAGGAAACAGCTGAGAGCTGACTTGCAGTTTGTATTCAGACTGGGGCTCATAAGGGAAAGGGGTCCATCCCCCCCCCCCCCCCCCCCGCCTCCTTATTCTCC